GTTAAAAAGGGACATATGACAAGTTTTATCAAAATATGTTAAAAAAACGTTTTTGTATAATTAGCTAAAAAAGCTTACCGGGCATAGTTCATAGTTTCTTGTTTGATACGTGTTGTGATGTACTCTATTTGTTTACATAGTGATATTTTTAGTTTACACAATGATAGTCAAATGGTCCTTTGTGCTTTACCCTACAATATCATTTTGTATGAATTTGTATTATTGATATATTATTAGGTAAAGCTAAGTATCTATTGTGGTATCATTTGGCGATACTAGTACTTCAATTTTTTAATATAATATTGTTTCTAAAAGCAAAATTCGTATAACATGTAATCACAATAAGTTTATTCTGAGATGCATTTACTTTGACTTTGAGATGTATTTATTGTGTATTTGTAACATTCTTTTCATAGGTTCTGGTGGTAAGAAGAATCGTCAAAAGGAACGTCGCCTCATGAAAGGATTTAATATTGCACCTCCCCCAACGGGAAGCACCCACACTTTGCCACCGGTTGCAGAATTCATAGCATCGCTACAGCAGGTTGGGTTTAGTGTATTAATAATATTAGCATACAATGCTGTAGTATGTTTAGCTTGGTGTTTGACAAAATCGTAATTTTGAATGAAAAGTTATAATTATCTTATTTATATCTCGTTAGTTATTGGAAGGTTTAAATTTGATTTTCAGATTCAGATTTTCAGATTTAGAAAGTTTTTGTTACAAATAAAAGTACATAATATTTTACATAAATTCGGGATTTTTATCTGTCATATTAAAATAATATGTCTATTATAGCAATCGGCCCAGCACGATCATAGTCAATCACAAGATTTTGGTTCTACGCTTACTGGAATTTTTACTGGAGGAAACGGAGGTGGTACTCCAAGAAAATTGCACCAACTCACACATTCGCATTCGCACTCTCAAGCACAAATGCCCGTTGGGCCATCACCATTGGTGACACTCACCAAAGGGGATTTGGAAGATTGGCACCAAGGCAAGATATAATTATAATACTATGAATTTATTTTTGTCTATAAATTCTTTAACTACCTTATTATATGGAAGAATTTTATCTTTGGAGACAAATAATTTTTATAATAATTAATTGTACAAATATGTATATTTTTGCAACCAGTTGTGAAAAATCATAAAAAAATCTCTTTTATGTTCAGGTTTCATATGAAGAGAAGCAGTTCACATAAGCGACGCTGGGGCACACTTATAGAAGCTGCAAAATCCGGTCGAGTTAGTCGACTCATCAGTAGATCAAGGTTGTTTTTATTATATTTTTCCAATTTATTTTTTATTTTTATTTTAGCCTAGAAAGTTAATCCATCCATTAATCTCGCTATTCTTAAAAGGGGGGAAAGGCTTGATAAGAATTTACAAAATATCACCTGGGGGAAGTAGTAAGATATAATCCGAGATTTTTCCAGATATTTCAAAAATTTTACAATTTGTTGCAAGTACAAAAAAATACACGTAATGGTGTAGGACGTAATGGTGGGACGACTAATTTAAATATCCACGTATTACTAATGGAAGGGAGTCCAAAATTCCTTAAAAATCTATCACGTGATTAGTGGCTCCCTTAGAAGAACAGGTAGTAGATAATTAGAAGTAAGACTAAAGTTCATAATTATTCATTCAATATAAATAAAATTTGATGTGTCGAATAAATAAATTGTTATTATTGGTCTTATCTTCAAATTCCATTAGCTTACATTCATTATATGTAAATTGTATATACATATTTTAAAAAATTACTTACTTCATATAACGACTAAAAATTTAGACCAAAAATATTTCTACGATTTTAAATGTATAGTTGTGCTATTAGAGACCTTTATTGAATTCTAAATCGAAGTTAATCCAAATTTAAATTTTTAATTGATAATTAAATTTAAGTCTTTATTATATCATTAAATAGTTCAGTCTGTATGATATGTAGGGGAGCGTCCATTAATCCCGTGAGGTTTTTAGGGGAAGGGGGGTTGACAAAAAAACATGAAATATCACGTGGAGGAGGGAAGGGTATAGTAAGACATCACGTGTATTTATTTTTTAACTATTTTTTTTAAGTTCAAACATTTTCAAAAAAAATTCAAAAATTTTACAGTTTTTTGCGTAACTAAAAATACACGTTATGTTTTGTGGGGGAGGGGGATAATTTTGAATATAACCATATATTACCAAGGGGGAGGTAGTATTCAAAAATCTTTAAAAACTTGCTAACGTAATTAATGGACGCCTCCTAGGTATATATCTAAAAAATCGCTCATAATTATAAATTTTTAAAATTAGTACAACTCTACTCTATTAACATTTAAATGCTTACTAATAGGTATTAAACTTTTATTTATATTAAATTTCTTGAAAAACGAATTTAAAACGGGTCTTTTATATTAACACCAAACTATCTACAATTCTTGTATAGCTATTGCTACTGCTCGCGGTTATATTGAGTGGATAGCTTGGCAACAGAGCTTTTTTTTTCAAGAGTGAAAAAAAATATTACATCCATATTCCAAGAATAAAAAATACCACGAAAATTACCAGGTTACCCAAATAAATATCTAAAAGAATTAAACGAGGAATCTCCTACTCGAAGATTGAAAAAAATGGCCATACGATCTGAAATAAAATGTCAAAAAATTTAGAAAAAGAGATATCTCATAGGAGATAATCTCTTAAATGCATTTACACCCAGCATATTGTCTTAAAAAGTATGTATTATTTTGATCGGCAATATTTCTATGCAAATAAAAAAAAATATTTCAAGAATTATCAAGTAGTTTGGTAACAGTATTATAATGTTTAAAAATATGTAGTTTTGCAAAAAATATGCAAACAGGCAATTTGACTGGTACTTTGTAGGTTTAGTGTTAAATTTAATGAATCATTTATGAATTGTAATTTTAAATAAATAATTTTAGGTCGGAAGATTCCGTTTGCCGCGCATCGACAGCCGTCGTCAGTCAATCTTCTGGGAATATGACTGTCAGCAATGGGACTCAAGAATCGGCTGATAGATTTAGTTAGCAATAGTCCAGGCAGCGACGATGCTCCTACAGAATCTGCGACGGATTCGAACAGAAGCTTGGAGAGATCAACAGGGCAACCTGGCGCTCCTGAAGGATCAACGTCTGCACAAGCCCATGGTAATAATCACAACTTACGAATAGGGTTTATACAAAAACCGACATTTCAGAAAACCGGTTTTCGAATTTTAATTTTACTAAAAACCGGTTTTAGCCGGTTTAGAATTTTTATATAAAAAATAAATTTTTGCTCGAATATTCTGTAATGTATCCGCAAATTTAATGTGATTTAGAGCAGTGTTTGACTAAATTTATTTATTGTTCAATTTATGGATAGTAAACAAAATTATTTTAATTTTAATGGTAGTAGAACTAAAAAATAATAGATTATCTTGATTTAATAACTTTGAAATAATTATTCGTTATTCATGCATCATTTTCACATATGAGAATGAAAATATTTTTATGATAGTGAAAGGAAGTTTTCGAATAAATAAAAATAATACATTTTTAAACAAAAAACATTCATAAAATTGAAAAAAATAAATAAAAAATTATTAGATACATGTTGATACATACTTGTTAATATCAATTTTAGTTTTAAAAACAATTAACTCGCATGTTTCGAGCAATTTTAATTAATTAATTTTAAACATTCTAATTGTTTTTTTTTGTTTTAAAATATGATTTAAGAAAATTGAGAACGTCTATCGAATTGCTACTTAGACGTGTCCTTTGTTTACTCACAAAATTACCTGAAATAGAAAATACTCTCATACGACCCAAATTATGCTTAATTGTTTTTGGAGCCTGATATAATAATATTAAGTTTTTTGTTTTTTCATTTGTAGCTTCTGGGGTTTAAAACTTTTTTTTTAAGTTTGAGTAGAGGAAGTTACTTCTTCAAGAAGAAGTCACAATGATTTAAATTAATATATACACCGGATAGCAATCTAAATTAATATATCAAAACCTTTCTGGGAACAATTGCAGACTGATAACATATCAAATGCTATTTAAACCATATGATTTCAAGAATCAAAACGCTTTCATCTATCTTTTATATTTGGCATATATTTGTCATTTTCCATTTATACAGTGAAAACCGACTTTTTTCACTAAAAAACCGGTTTTCGAATTCCATAATTTTTGCCAAAAAACAGGTTTTTGAAAACTGACAAACCCTACTTACGAATGATTGGAATATATTGAAGATATTTTTTAGATGTTGAAATAAATAAATTTCACAGAATAGGTGTTTCTTTATACAGAAGTAAAATGTTGTGCTTTCTAAAATTATTTATGGAAAATAAAATCATGCATATCACTTCAGAAAATCACTCACACATAAGAAAAATTACTAGTAGTGACGGCAAATCATAATAAGTAAAAGTAGAAAAACACATATTAATTAAAATTTTCTGAAAAATTTACAATACGAAATAATAACTACGTTGCAGTTGGAGGAAAGGAAAGGTAGGGCAAAAGATTTTATAACGGCTAATAGTATTTTGAAAACAGTGATAAATTTAATATGAATAATCATAATTATTATGATTAATGTGAATTTAACAAAAATACATAACAATTAGCGAAAGTTTTAAGGTCAATTTTTTTCTGAGATGATTGTGCAAAGTATTGAAATGTATAATGTATATAGGATTTCCCATATTTCGTGAAATAATTCAATTTGATTATTAAAGAATAAATTAGATATTTTAATAATAATCCTAAATATTCATTTTCAGGAGCCCTGGGTGCGTTAGCAGTTCTCCGCCGAAAACGGAAGAAATTTTCTAATTCCCGGAATGTAACAGCTCTCACCGGTAGCAGAGCTGTGGTTCCTGCGCCAGTTTTATCTTTAGGAAAGCACACTAAAGTAAGATCTTATAATATTCATACACATTTGTATCTATAGACTATAGAGTATTACAACAAATTATATAGGAATGTCATATCATGATTTTTTTTTTCATTTTTAGTCACGTATTCAGATGTTAGAACGAGCGTCGTCGGCACCGTCCCGAGGGCCACCCGCGGTTTCTGGCACTGAAACAACTGCCGGCCACAACGTCATGAACACACCCAAAGTCAACATAGTCAACAGAGTCAGCAAGATACCCCTGTGGGAACAGGTATAATACCCAAATATATACATGGTGTTCCAGAACTCAACGTCAAGCCGTATCGAGGTGATAGTATGAGTCGTAACTATTATGAAAAAATTGCAAAACTAGTGGTGTATGGCATCGTGCCTTAAAGCAAATTGCTGTAACTTTCCGTAACAAAAATTATTATTTTTTTTTAAAACGATTAACTTTTTTTTAAACTTTGAAAGAAATAGATTTTTGAAATTTTAAATTAAAAAAAATGACTTTTATGAAAAAAAAATCGTTTTGTATTTTGAAATATTTTGGAAATTTGAACTTTTTTTCAAAACAATCGCGCTGCATTGAAAGATATCTTCATAGAGACGAAAGTCGCAGTCTAACGGACAAAAGATGTTACGGAACCCAGAGAAATGAGAAATGTAAACAAAATTTATACGTATTATTAAAATCTTTATAAAATATTTGATAATTTGATGTAACATATATGGACGATGGTGGGCCATATATTATTAATTAATTAATTCTTGAATTGATGAAATCGCAATAATTTATTTCAAACTCGATAATGACTGTTTATTAAGTCTCAATTGATAAAAGTGTTGATATTACATTAAAATCAAATCTAAATTTCGATCACGGAGAAAACGCTCGTTGGCAAAAAACTCGATACAATATTTTCGATCGTTTTTAAAAAAAGCGCGACAATAATATTCGATCGTATAAAAACAACAGATCGTTATAGCTTGTTGATGCCAGATCCGAATCAACGTAGCCCAATATAATTTAGTTTTGTCATCAATCCTAGAAATATACTAATCTAGACGTTTCTCTCTCGCGGTATTTGCGTTCAGAGAGCTAGGGAAAGTCACGACCGCAAATTGGGTGATGGCGCTTTAATCGCATGTCGCTGGCAGCCTCGTGCTCCAAAATGCATTCAAATTAAAGCGCCAAAATAGAAATAAAAAGAAATGTCAATTTTAAAAAATAATTTATGTGTATTAAATTTTGCATACAATAGTCTTATATTGACATTGTGATACAATAACAAAACATACCAACAATAATAATATATAAAATAGATATCAAAGTAAAATAGCAATATGTTGCAACAAAAATATTTATTTAAAAAAGGGAAAAATAAAAAGATTAACGATTACAGGATTCCTGCCTTCAAGTGGATAATCATCATTATTCACTACCAATAATGTTGTGAACACAAAACATCAGGTTAAATTATTGGTCTGTGCATTATTTATTAACTATAATCATTCAAGTAAGATTTGTCACTTTCAGCCATCTTTGCGATAATCCAGTCATACTAAATGGCTCTTGATTTTACTTGAATATTCAAAAAAACTGCTGCATTAAATTAACTTATTTTCATCTTGCACGGCAATTGGATTTCGTTCATTAACTCAGTTGGCGTTCCAAAAAATGTAAAGTCTAGTCTATTTATGGCTTTCCATATATATTTTAGAGCCCCAAAGTTTAATACAATTCTGAAAAGTTAGAAGAGCCTTGCTTTCTTATAAAAGCCCCTAGCTTGCTCCCAAAATGGATTGTGATTTAAATTTTATGATATACATGCTTAACAATTGCTTATATCCTCTTCATTTAAGAGTTATAGATTTTTTGAATCACAAAATAAAACCTTATAAACAATTATAAAACACTTGTAAACACAACAATACCAAAAAGAATCAAACAAAATTTGACATTCTGGTACATAGCTCGTGAATTACTAACTTGTCAAACTTGTCATCGGCTCACTAGCGCAAATTTGCGCCTAGCGTCGTGACTGGACTACGCGTTTGTGAACGCCGGATTTGTACTGAGATAATAGGGCTGGTCATCAATTGACGTTATTCAACTGACATCTGTCATATGGTGTTTATTCCGCCATTGTCATCAATTGACGTCCTTCAACTTCATATGGTGTTCATTCCGCCATATAACTCCCCTTCAAAAGAAGATGTAGCGCATCACATGTCTCTGGACAGATTGGCCCATATAGTGACAGCACTGAGAAAAAACAAAAGGAAATTCAAGTGTCAGATCGGACACGGTTTTTGTTTCTCCCTAGTCGAACTTGCAAAATGTATAATTTTCAAAACCTTTCTTTTTCTATAAATAAGAAAATACCAATCACATTTTATTAACGATAAATATGACAACACATAGTGTCGTGGATATTAATCATACATAAAATAAACCAAATATAAATAATATTTTATGGAATTTATTATTACTACAATTTGGATAATATTGGTATTAATATGGAGGACTACTACACCTCCATATTTTGGTGACCCCGAGAGTGAACTAGCAACACACATACAAGAAGGTAAGAAGATCAAGACATATTTTGAAGTAGCACAAGAAAAAAAAAATAAATTGAAGTCTCAAGAATTATTAAGAAAAGAATTTTTAAAAATATAAATAATTATTATAAATGGCTCACAACTTCCATAATTCGAAGAGCATTCTAAGCATACAACCGAGACTCCGACCACGCACTTCAAGATCAACAACAACACGTGCTCAATAAATCACTTATTATCATGGTAAATAAGTCGATAATAAGCACCATGGCAGCAGACAGGGAGCAAACAATTTGGCAACCGCCACATACACTCAACCGCTAACTCACCAGCGAAGGGCCACATACAATCAACCGCTAACTCACCAGCGAAGGGCCACATACAATCAACCGCTAACTCACCAACGAAGGGCCACATACACTCAACCGCTAACTCACCAGCGAAGGGCCACATACACTCAACCGCTAACTCACCAGCGAAGTGTCAAATATACTCAGCCGCTAACTCACCAGCGAAGGGCCACATCTACTCAACCGCTAACTCACCAGCGAAGGGCCACGTAAGCAATCAACAAACTCAACAAGCCAACACGGCAATTTATCACACAATCTCAACCAAAAGAAATTTACAAGGAAGTTCAAGAATGGCAGTCAGAGATGCGAAACAATCTTTTTCATTAGGGCGGAGTGATGTAGCGCATCACATGTCTCTGGACAGATTGGCCCATATAGTGACAGCACTGAGAAAAACAAAAGGAAATTCAAGTGTCAGATCGGACACGGTTTTTGTTTCTCCCTAGTCGAACTTGCCAAAATGTATAATTTTCAAAACTTTCTTTTCTATTATAAATAAGAAAATACCAATCACATTTTATTAACGATAAATATGACAACACATAGTGTCGTGGATATTAATCATACATAAAATAAACCAAATATAAATATATTTTATGGAATTTATTATTACTACAATTTGGATAATATTGGTATTAATATGGAGGACTACTACACCTCCATACATATGTCTAATCATATAACGGACAAAGATGATACGGAACCCATAGAAATGTAAACAAAATTTATACGTATTATTAAAATCTTCATAAAATATTTGATAATTTGATGTACATATGTTAATCATCATTTTTGACCGCCAAATGGCATTTATTTTTACTTTTTTCACTAGATCTTCAAAACCTTCCCAAAAATTTAATCATTTCTTAATTTTGTCGATACAAGTCTAATGTTTTTTGAATTACCGTTTTTGTAACTTTTTGCCCCGTATCTTCGAAACTGCTAGACCTGCATTTATCAAAAAGTAATCAGCACGTCTCCTTATCAATACAAATCGAATGTGTTTTGAATAATTAAATTCGGTTGAACAGTGTTCCCGAAATCGTCGATGAAAACTTGTATCCGAGCACACACACGCATACATGCATTTTTTCTAAGGTATGTCAATATGTTCAGAAACCTCTAAAATGTAAAGATATATAAAAAATTTATTTCTAATTTATTTTCGATCTTTTTGCGATTACTATAACTTACTTAAGGAAAGTTAATAATGCATGTAGTTTGGAAGTTATGAGCTTTTAAGTGCAATCTAGAGCTTTAGTAAGATTGTGACCATTTTTCGGTTATTATGGTTAATTACTATCAATTTTGTTCTTTTAAACTTTGGATCTGTAACCAGTGCTGGATTTACAGTAGGGGCAGTCGGGGCTACTGCCCAGGGCGGCAAATTTTCGGGGGCGGCAAAATTTGGATATCCAATAGTGAGAAGAAAATTCTATACCATATAATTAACTTCTTTTTTTAATAGCATATTTAATTTCAAGAAATATAATTAACAAAACATTATACAAATGCAATGCAAAATTTGGCAATTTGGCTAATCTAAAGATTTGTAAGTGAGTTGAAAGGTTAAGTAAAATATGTTGTTCAGATCTCGAGCCCTCTTAAGATGACGAATTTGTGCACTTACAAGCTCATAGCGCCGAAAAAAATTAATTATGTGTCTTACGGCAAGTTACTGAAACTTTCCGTACTGAAAATTACATTTTATAAAAAGCTTCAAAATTTTTTGAAAAATGATAAAAATTGAATTTAAAAAAACTTTTTTTATATTTCGCATTTTTTTGAAAATTATTGAGTTTTATCCATTAAATTTATTAAAATTAAATTTTATTTGAATAATTCGATTTCTATTGATAGCGAGACGTGCTGATTAGTTATTTGCCAAGACAGGTCCAAATGTTTCGGAAATACGGGACAAAATGCCAAAAATAATAATACCGGTTACTATGGCAAATACTTTTGATGATATGATGCTGATATTTTTATGGTATCGAACCAATATTTTATGACAAAAAATTGCAAAATCAATAATATTATCATATTATGGATTAAAATATTTTGTCCAATTATAATATTCCTATTACTAATAGTATCATATATTACAAGTACTAAAAATCAGGTTAGTTCTATATATAATATTAGTAATTCTATAGTATATTAGTAAGTAATTCTATATAATATTAGTAAAATAAAAATTCAAAATAAAAAAAAATGAGGGAAAAATAC